CCGGGCCGGGAGGAGCGCCTCGCACCGGCCCCGCCTTGCTCCCGGGCTGGAGCCCGTGTTTCCTGCCGCACGTGCGGCGGTGTCCGTGCCTGGGCAGCGGCAATGGTTCGCAGGCTTCACCTGGAGCCGCTCGTCGCCCCCCGTGAGGTGCCGGAGGGGCTGGTGTAAAGGGCCCCGCGGAGCGCGGCTGGCGGTGAAGGGCAGGATTTGGGACTAAAYGAACCAAAGCCCTGGATTTGTACAAAAACAGCCGAGAGGGAGCCTGCGCCTGGCAGGGCCGAGGGCACTTGGCAGCCCTGACACGTGGAGCTCCCGAGGAGCGAATTCTGTAACGGGAGTTTTCTGTCAGCCCCTGACGGTCGGTGCGGGAGSGCACAGAAGTAGCGCGTGACCTAGAGCCTTTTTGTGTTTATCACGAGGAAAATAGATCTATTTTTTACTCCATGGGTCCAACAAAAGTGAAATATAATGCCTTACAGATTAAAAGGAAAAGCTGCTCTCAGGCTGATAGGTGCTCGAGCCCCTGAGGAATTCAAACTGTTCATTTAGGAGCCCTGGTCTGTGTTCTGGACAGAACTGAAATACCTTCTTGCATTGTTATTCTCGTAGTGGGAGTGTTGTTTCACATATGAAACAACGCCTGATAATCATACCCCAAAAGTGCTTCTTMATGTCCACAGTTACTCGCAATCCTTTTGCAGGTTCAGTGGGCGGCACTAGAGGGTGCTGTGATTGCACACACAGAAATGAAACTGCCTGAAGAACAAGGAAACAAACACCCAAGAAGGAGGTCAGTGCAACACGGCTATGGTTTATGAAAATCTATCAGGTTATTAAGGTAACTCCATTATGATGGAGTCAAGGGAAGTGTAGAGCTCCAAAACTACCTTTCCCTTACTGTGGATGGTAATATCCTCATGCTTTTGCACTTGTATTATTTGCAGTTGAGGAGGAAAGACATCAGTGAAACAAATTCTATTGTTTGCCATAACATTAAAAATCTCATAAATGTTATTTAAACCTCCTGAAAACAGGCATTCTAAGGGGACACAATCAGTGCTGTGGTTGGAAATATTGGTAGGCCAAAGCCCTGTAGAACTGCAGAAGGTGTTGGTCCTTGCCCCTACCAGCTTAGTGGGCACAACAAGCAAAGATGGGCACATGCATGAAGTAATTGCTGAAATGTACTTCCTCTAACSCTGCCTGGTTGCTGGAGAAGTCATAACAAACTCCTGACTACAAGAGGTTGTTTTGTCAGAAATCAGAGTAGGGTTGTGTTTTCAAGAGAGCTCTGAACATGGACAATGTAGGAGTGTTGCAGATTTTTATAGGCAACTTGTGAAAGAAGAGCAGAAATGGAAAAACTAAAACAATTGCAACATACTCCCCCTTGGAAACTACCATGGTCACAGACACTGGAAGGCAGAAGTACATTTCCACTCATGCTTGCCAAAAGAGAAGATGGGTGGTCTCATAGCTGAAACACAGGGACTACAACTCTCACCTGAATTCTAACTGTTGAATTCACCAAGTTGTGTTGCCATGAACTGGTCTTCTAACTTCCCTGTGCCACAGCTCTGCATTATAAAGGTGGAGAAATATTATAGGTAGTTATYCTCTTAACCCTTTTACACAACAAACAGCATCAATGCCTGTGGGAGGGACACCACAGCAGCTTTTTTCCCCTTTTGCACAAAAGTGTCCCCCCTCCATCAGGTACTACCTCTGGTGCTGAGGTGTACTTTTGGGACATTGCAGCCATTGTGGTGCCCACCTTGGTGTAGCTGAGGTGTCAGTAGCAGTGCAGCTTCCACATCAGAGACTGTACAAAGACCCAGGGCATCTCCCTCTCCAGGAGATTCCTTATAGGAACCTGTGACACTAAACGTCTGGTTTGCTGTATGCTGGAAAAAGGGACAAAGGGGAAACTGCTGCAGAGAACTCCAGAGAGTTGCATAAAATTTGTTTTTCAAATCTGTTGTTTTATCAGCAATTTTTTTGAAAATATATTTGTCTCACTGCTAATAAAAGAAGTGGCTCCACTGAACTGCTGAATTTCTTTCCACAAGAAAGAAGGAGGATTTTTTTTTTTTGCTTGTGTGCATGTGTGTTAGCTTATCTTCCCAATCTTGAAGTTGTTTTTCAAGCCAGAATGTCACAATTTAATTGGGGAAGAAGCCTTAATCACAACTTGCAAACAAGGTGAAAATGGAACATTTTTAACGATTCCTTTCCAAAAAATAGATGGAACAGGGGAATGCTGACATTGCTTTACTTTTGCCAAAGGCTGCCAACACTCTGAGGGAATAAGCTATTCAGCTGGCGAAAAAGTGCTGAACAAACACTGAAGGAGCTAAAGGGATACTCCCAATCATGATATACTCACTTTTCACTCTATSTCCTACCTCAGTCTGATGACTTTCCCCTACCCCTGCCCTCACAAAAAAATAAAAGGGAAAAATAAAGAAAAACAAAGAAAAGGCAGGTTGGATTAAAACAGTAGCAAGAGGAATTGGTGGATCCTGAGAGTTGGCAGGGGTATTAGTATTTTGTAACCTGATCTGTCATGTGACCACGGCCAGGCAATAAAAATAAGTCTCCTACCAGCCCTCCTGTTTGCTCAACTTTATTATATGGTGTCAGTGGAGAACTACTTTTTTTTTTTTTTTGGCAAAAATTTAGCAAATGAAGCCACCTGAATCATTAAATCCTGAAGGAAATCTGGCAGAGAACTGGAGGAGGTTGTTGCTGTGCTTCCAAGTTTTCCTGGAAGCAAGCATGTACTGAAGAGAAAAGGAGAAGGTGAAATCTTCTCTCCTAAATGTGGCGGGAGGGGCAGGAAGCAAAAAAACAAAACTATTAGAAGTAAATTAAATTCTTGATCAACATTAGTAGTGGTTGGCAAAGATCTGTTTGAATTAGCCAGCAAAGATTACTACTCGTTATGGACTAGCACACACACATATTCAGCTGCTGCACACCACAGTGAGCAGAAATGTAATAACATACATACTGTAAATTACAGTTTGCTCACCACAGTGCTCAAGATGAGTTAATAACAGATAATGGCCCACAATTCACAAGTGGATCATTCTGGTAATTCTCTTTGATCTGTAAGTTCAAGCATACCACGTCAAAGTATAGCTATGCGCAGGAAAAAGAGTCAGTGTTAGAGCAAAACCCCAGTAACAGCCTCCCCCCCTTTACAAGTCTATCATTAGCACTGTAAAAACAGAGATGCACACCTCACTGCCTTACTGGCCTCACCAGATCTGAGATTAATAGGCAAAGCCTTCCAGAGCCAACATTTAACAGAGGCTGGTTGGGCAGAAAGACTGTTAACCCTGGAATAGCTACCAAAAYATCCCTAAACTCTGTGCCAGGGAGGTAAAGAAGTTTTAACAAGAGGAAGGAACAGTTATTCTTTTTTCTGGTATTAGGTGGATTTCCAACAAAGCAATATGTGGGTTACATTTATACAGGTGAATGTCAGWCCTTAGATTGGGTCTTAACCTTCTTTGTAAGTGGCTCTTGTGAAAAGAGATAAAGGACATGCAAGGGGACAAGGAGATCTGTTGATCAAGATAGATACAGAGGCACAAAGCAGTGTTATTTGCCTCATCAGCTGGTAATCCTGAAAAACAGAAAGACTCTGAATGCTTTACAGATTCCAAAAGAGAACTAAACAAGGATTTTAGAAAGATCTTTCTGAGACCACAATATGCCACCAGAAAACTGCTGAGTGATAAGCTTCTCCTGGYGAGAAGGCCAACTTCCAAAGATAAGATCTCCTCAAGAAACAAGTTCCTTATTCTTTAGGGACCAGTTCATTTACCCTAAGCTCCTCCCCAAACATAACTGTTCATTTTAGTGTTCYCTCCTATTTTGTTTAATATCATGTTATATTTACACAAAATTAGTTTCAAAGATAGGTTAAGTGTAACCTTGAGGTCAACAGACACTGACTTTCATTGTGTACTAGCAATGTTTACAGTGATTTGTATTTTGTGAGGTAGACCAGGAAATAGATATGGATATATTTCTTAAAACTCTAATCCACCACATTACTATTGTAGTACAAACCAAAGCCTATCTGAGTGAGACACAAAAAGATTGTTGGAAAAGGCCTACATGATTTTGAAGTACCATCCAGAGTTTAGAAAGTTTCCCTGTCAARGAAGATAAGGGATGTATATTTACCATATTGTAGAGTGGCTCACACATGCTCAAGCCCACATCTCACAAAAAATAGGGAGGAAAAGCCCAAAAGAAAAGCCCATATGCAGAGTTGTTCATCTGCAAGTGATGGTGTCATCTCTGCTCTCTCAGGAAACCCTGCAATGGCATGTGTACCTGAATCCATGAATAATGCTGCCGTGCTCCACACACTTCTGGGAATGGTGGAATTAAARAGCCAATTAATTTAACTCCCAGAGTGTGAGGAGGGACCTAGGGACAACAAGCAACATGTAACCATATGTATTTAGTTTTGA